TGGCTCGTTCGCATGCACCCCACACCCAATTCGGCACACCCCTCACACGTTTCTGGCCTCGTAGGGAGCTCCACCGAAGGCCCCAGTGGTGCTCCGCAAGCCTCCCCACCACCCATTTCGGCACACCCCTCACACGTTTCGTGGCCCCATAGGGAGCTCCACCGAAGGCCCCAGTGGCGCGTTCGCATGCCTCCCCACCACCCAATTCGGCACAACCCCTCACACGTTTCGTGGCCCCATAGGGAGCTCCACCGAAGGGCCCCAGTGGCTGCTCCGCATGGCGGCCCCACCACCAATTTCGGCACACCCCTCACACGTTTCGTGGCCCCATAGGGAGCTCCACCGAAGGCCCCAGTGGCTGCGTCCGCATGCGTCCCCACACCATTTCGGCACACCCCTCACACGTTTCGTGGCCCCATAGGGAGCTCCACCGAAGGCCCCAGTGGCTGCGTCCGCATGCGCCCCGCACCCATTTCGGCACACCCCTCACACGTTTCGTGGCCCCATAGGAGCTCCACCGAAGGCCCCAGAGGTTGCGTTCGCAAGCTCCCCACCACCCATTTTCGGCACACCCCTCACACCTTCGTGGCCCCATAGGGAGCTCCACCGAAGACCCCGGGCACACGTTTCGTGGCCCATGCCTCCCCACCACCCATGGAGCGCACACCCGAAGGCCCCTGTGGCGGTGGCCCCATATTGAGCTCCACCACCAATTTCGCCCCATTCGTGGCTCCCCACCACCCATTTCGGCACACCCCTCACACGCTTCGTGGCCCCATAGGGAGCTCCACCGAAGGCCCAGTGGCAGGGTCCGCATGCCGCCCCACAGGGTTCGCATGCCTCACCACCACCCATTTCGGCACACCCCTCACACGTTTCGTGGCCCCATAGGGAGCTCCACCGAAGGCCCCAGTGGCAGGGTCCGCATGCCTCCCCACCACCCATTTCGGCACACCCCTCACACGCTTCGTGGCCCCATAGGGAGCTCCACCGAAGGCCCCAGTGGCGCGGTGCCTATGAGAAGGGGGCCGAGTTTGCGTGCCCCCTCCTTCGTCTCATATCCGCGCGGTACTCGCAGCTGCATATGGTTGGGTCCTTCGCCAGGCTAATTTTCAAAATGCTGCTCTCGCTGAGGCGCCCTCATTTCTGCTCCCGAATCGTTCCGAATCGTGCTCCCGCTGCAGCGTGGGCCTCATTTTCGGATCGGTGTTTGGCCTCCGTCGTTCAGGATGGCGTTCTCGCCCCAGCGCGGGCCTCTTTCTCGCGCGCCCATCCGCCCGCCACCACCGCGCCGCACCACCACCACCACCACCACCACCACCACCACCACACACCACCACCACCACCACCACCACCACCACCACCACCACCACCACCACCACCACCACCACCACCACCACCACCACAACCACGCACACACGCACGCACGCACGCACGTGCACCACCACCCACTACGCACGCGCGCGCGGAGCCACAGGTCCGCTACGACACGCGTCCGCGGATAGAGAAAATCAGCGCCATGGTAAGGGATGGGAGGGAGGGGTAGGACGTCAGATATGACGCGAGCGCACCTAGCTTGCCCCCTACCCCTCCCCCCCATCCACTCCAGAAAACCAGGGAGGGTCACTAATTATCGGTTCGACCCCCCCACCTCCAGTAAACTGGGGGGGGGTACTGCTGGTTCGAAACCCACACACACACACACACACACACTCGCCGCCGGCAAACGACTCCAGGCTCCCCACCACCGTCCTCACCACCGCCCTCACCGCTGTCCCCACCAGCACCGTCCCCACCACTACTGTCCCCACTGTCCCCACTGTTCCCACCACTGTCCCCACCAGTGCCCCCACCAGTGTCTCACTGTCCCCACTGTCCCCACCACTGTCCCCACCACGGTCCCACTCTCCCCACTGTCCCCACTGTGCCCACCACTGTCCCACTGTTCCCACTGTCCCCACCACTGTCCCGCTGTACCCACTGTCCCCGCCGCTGTCTCACTGAGCTGTCCCACTGTTCCCACCACTGTCCCACTGTCCCCACTGGCCCCACCACTGTCCCCACAGTGCCACTGTCCCATTGTCCCACCACCGTCCTCACCACCGCCCTCACAACTGTCCCCACCACCACCGTCCCCACCATTGTCCCACTGTCCCCACCACTGTCCCACTGTCCCCACAGCACTGCCCCCACCACCACTTTCCCCACCACTGTCCCACTGTCCGCGCTGTCCCCACCACTGTCCCACTGTCCCCACTGTCCCCACCATTGTCCCCACTGTCCCCACCAGTGCCCCCACCAGTGTCTCACTGTCCCCACTGTCCCCACGACTGTCCCCACCACGGTCCCATTCTCCCCATCGTCCCCACTGTCCCCACCACTGTCCCACTGTCCACACTGTCCCCACCACTGTCCCACTGTCACCACTGTCACCACCGCTGTCCCACTGTGCTGTCCCACTGTGCTGTCCCACTGTCCCAGCTGTCCCCACCACTGTCCCACTGTCACCACTGTCCCCACCACTCTCCCCACTGTACGACTGTCCCATTGCCCCACCACCGTCCTCACCACCGCCCTCACAACTGTCCCCACCACACTGTCCCCACTGTCCCCACCATTGTCCCACTGTCCCCACACCACTGTCCCCACCACCACCGTCCCCACCACTGTCCCACTGTCCCCACCACTATCCCAATGTCCCCAGGAGCGAGAATCGTTTGCCAGCGGCGAGGGGGGGGGCGGTCGAACCGGTAGTGACCCCTCCCCCCTTTTCATGATGGACCTCCTCCTCCTCCTCCTCCTCCTCCTCCTCCTCCTCCTCCTCCTCCTCCTCCAGTCTTGCCCGCAGCCTGGCAAGCGCGGCGCAGAACTGCTCGAGTTCCCCGCCCTCCGCGGCGGCCTGCGTTCGCAGGAGCTTCGCCAGCTCGTCGAGGTGCTCGCCGACGGCCAGGAGCGCCCGCGCCGCTGCAGCGGGCGCGGGCGCAGGCGCGAGCATGGGCGCGGACGTGGGCGCTGTCCAGACCGCTTCTCCAGAGGCCTCCCAGATGAGGTCTGAGAAGATGGGGTCGGAGGATCGCGCCGCATCGCCGATGCATCGCCGACGCACCGGCCATGCGCCAGCGGTGCACCGGCGACGTCGGCGATGCATCGGCGACGCCGGCGCGGAGAAAATCGGGGATCCACATTGAGCCGCATCGCCGATGCAACGGCGATGCGGCGCGATCCTTCGACCCCTGGCTCGGCAGGGCCTGCGCCGGAGGGGGCGGCCGGCGCGCCGCCGGGGTCGCGGGCGCTCCCGACGGCTTCGAGCGGGGGGCGCGCGGCCTCTGCCGAAAGGGATACGGACCTAGTTCTTTCCTGGTTGCGCGCTTCTGCGAGGCACAGATCGCAAGCGCATTCCTCTGCCCCTCCCGGCGCGACTCGATCGAAATCTGTCCCCGGACCCGCCCCTGCCGCGCGCGGACGAGCCGCGCCGCAACCGTCGCAATCGGAACCGCTGATATTCCGCAAGGGCGGCCATTACTGGCAGCGGACTCAGGCCAGGTAGTATATGGTCAAGGACTTGTGATTAGCGTGTCGCGGCGGCGGCCCCAGCGACACGCTACGCCTTGCCAGCTGATAGCGTGTCGCTTTGCTCCGCGCGGAGGAAGACTGGAAAAGGTTTATGACGATGACGCTCAGGAACTGGGACGTGGCTTGCGTGTCGCAATGGAGCGTGGTGGGCCAAAAATCGCGGCGCGACACGCTGAGTCAAAGTTCGCGACGACGGTTGGAATGACATTCTAACCAACCATATGCTGCGGGTGAACTCGCAGAAACGTGGTTGAAGAGTCACGACGACAACGACGACGACGCCGCCACCGACGAGGCTCACGATAATGATGGTGAAGGTGGTGGTGATGATGATGATGATGCTGATGATGATGATGATGATGATGATGATGGTGATGGTGATGACGGCGGTGGTGGTCATAATAATGATGAGTATGATGATGGTGGTGATGGCGGTGGTGATGGTGGTGACGATAATGATTGTGATTGGTTTGCATAATTTCTCGGAGCGGGGCATCTTTCTAATATAATAATGACGCTGTCTGAACTGCGGCGTGAGTCCCTGGGCCACTTCGGCGCCCAGGAGCGAAAGCTTGCACAGACCAGAACACGTTGTCGGCACACTTGGGATGCAGAAGACAGAAAGCGGGGCATTACTATTATGGGGTGGTTTGGGGCCGCGAGAAACTTGATCATAAACAAATAGATGGGAATGCCCTGCATCAGATTCTTGATCCGGAACTTGACAGAATTTGATCAGGAACTCCATCAAAAAGTTGCAAGTGACAGCATGCCGATTTCAGGTCTGTTCATGTCCGCGCACGCACACATACTACTGGGCAAATTTCTTCAGGTGGAGCAGCTGTCTAATATGGTAGCGACGCTGTCTAGACTGCGGCGTAAGTCCCTGGGCCAGCTCGGCGCCTAAGAGCGAAAGTTCTCATAAACCAGAACCCAGAACATCGAACTACGTGTTCGGTGCATCCCGAATCGCGAAAAGTTTTCCCGAATCGGGCCCATACAGGCATACGGAAGTCTCGGGCCTCTTCTGAGGATCCGAGCGAGAAGCCCACGCAACCTCGAGGGGGCAGGGCTGGGCAATGGATGTCCATCTCTGGCCCCCTCTGACCCACCCCCAAACCACCTGAAGGCGACATGGCATGGCAATGAACTTCTCCAAGCCTTCAGTGCACACACTTCACAGAGGAAGCCGGGTCCTCTCCTCCAGCAGGCCCCCATCATGCAGAAATGGCAAGCGATGTCATGCACACGAAGATTTCTAATTATAACGCGGGCCAGGGAGGCCGAGCCACATTCTGCTGGTCAACAGGTTCCCCCACGCCCAGGGCGCGAAAAAGAAAGTGAGGCACAGAGTAATTTGTTTGCAGGAAGGCGCCCAGGCAGGCGTTACCCCCAACAACCTTCTTTTGTTGCAGACCAGGGAGGCCCTACGGATCCCACCCGCCACGAATCATGAGCGCGCGGTCTCTGGCGATAGAGAAGCTGGCACAAGGAGGAGCGAGACAGGCGCCCATCACTTCACACTTGCGTAACATCTGCCTTATACTACTAACGTTTTTTGGCTTGGTTGAATCGAAAGGCTCGCCGGATCTCCCACTCATCCGCTTTGAAGCCCTCAGCACGGACGGCCCTTGCCACACCTCCGCCTCCTGATAACAGGAACAGGAAGATGACCTCCCACACATCGGCGGCGGCCGGATGACGGCCTTCGCGCCCAGGACGCACGCCGCGACGTGTGCCTCGCAATCCCTGGGACAGCACGGCCGGCCCTCGGAGCGCTCGCTCATCCGGAGGGCGAGGCGGTCGTGCTTCTCGTACCGCTCGGGGCTCTTGGTTGAAGACCGCCGACCTCGCTTCAGGATCTGCTGCAGCGCTGGCACGCTGCCTGCGCCTCTTCCCAGGTGGGGCCCGAACGCTTCACGTGGCATGGCGCGATGTCGATCCCGACCAGCTTCGAGGCCAGCTTGATGCACCTCAGCACGCGCGGGTACGTCGAGCCTCCAGAGCGGCTGGCCATGAGGACGAAGACGGGGCACCTGGAACACCTCGCTGGGGAACGAAATAGAGGTACGGGGCGCCACACAGCAGGCTGTCGTCGAAGGCGCTCACCTTCGTCGGCGCCTCGCGCCCCTCCGTCACGATGAGCGGCCCCTGGCGCTTGACTCCTCGACGAGGGTCGAGTTTGGCGCGCTTCTCCATCTTCCTCGCCCGAGACCGCCCAGGGCGCTGGCGGTCGCTCGTCCTGGCGTCGCTGGAGCCCCCGCTCCCGCGTGGCTCCGAGCCCTCGGCCTCCGCGAGCTCGCAGAGGTCCACGGACGGCTTCGCCTGCGTGGAGCGCGGCCTCGAGTTCAGCGAGGCGCGGACACCGGACGCGGCGAGCACCCTGCCCCCCCCCTGCCCAGCACTGCAGCAGCCGTCGGCCCAGACCGCGTCGGCAGCAGCAGCGCGGCCGCCAGCACGCACTACCGCGTGGACCGGCGAGGCGGCCCCGCAGGCGGTGCCAGCCCACGCTTGGCCATCGCCAGTCCGCGCAGCGATCTGCCTGGCAGGAGGCGGGCGGCCAGGTCGGGGCCCCAGGTGCTCGAGCCCAGGTGGGCGCGGAAGGACGACGGAATCCGTCGTGGTGTTTCTGGACAGCTCGTCTGCAACATGCCACTCAGATCCACCTCGTGGCTGGACGAATCTCTCTCGCAAGACCCTCTCCAAGCCGGACAGCACTGGCTGCTGCCGCCAAGACTTCGAGGACGACAACCGAATCACGAGCCCGAAGTGCATCATTGGATCCGCGAGGCGCAGGGGGACCTGCATGGCCCAGACTACGGAGAAGCACGTACATTAAGCAGGAGATTCGAGGAGCTCAACGGGTTCTGAGCAGTAAACTGCGATCAGTGTGAATCTGAAAGCTCCGCGTGCGCTTGCAGTGCCTGTGCCCGCTTAGCCAGAACCCGAACACGTGTGCCTACCCCATTTGGCGTGAGGGAAGGGGGCCTTTGCGGCCCCCTTCCAGGTGTGTAGTTTGCTGTGTTGAGAACAAGTGTTTGCAATCTCTCTCTCTCTCTCTCGCGCTCTCTCGCTCTCTCTCTCTCTCTCTCTCTCGCTCTCTCTCTCTCTCTCTATCGCACGCCATCGGCGCGAGCACGCCGCGTCGAACGCGGCGGGCGCGCGCAGCCCGACCACGCAGGGGCGTGGCGCCTCACGCGCCGTGCCCGAGCACCATCTCTCTCTCTCTCTCTCTCTTTCTCTCTCTCTCTCTCTCTCTCTCTCTCTCTCTCTCGGCGTCTCATACTGTCGCAGATGCCTCGGCGCCCTTCTATGTTCAGGAAACCAACCACGATGATGATGATGATGATGATGATGATGATGATGATGAAGATGATCATGATGATTATGGTGATGCTGATAATGATGATGATGATGATGATGATGATGATGATGATGATGGTGATGGTGATGACGATGGCGATGGTGATGGTGATGATGATCATGATTATGGTGATGATGATAACGAAGATGGTGATGATGATAAGGTTGATAATGGTGATGACGATGATGATGATGATGGATGATGGGGATGACAACGACGATGATGGTAATGATGATGATGACGATGACAATGACGATGACAATATTGATGATAACGGTGACGATTATGGTGATGATGATGATGATGATCATGATCATGATCATGATGATGATGATCATGATCCTGATCATGATGGGATGGATGATGGTGATGACAACGACGATGACGGTAATGATGATGATGATGAAGATGACGATGACAATGACGATGACAATAATGATGATGATGGTGACAATTATGATGATGATGATGATGATGGTCATGATCATGATGATGATGAGTATGATCATGATCATGATCATGATGATGATGACGGACGATGGTGGTGGCAACGATGATGACGGTAATGATGATGACAATGACGATGACGATAATGATGTTGACGGTGGCGATTATGATGATGATGTTCAGGATCATGATCATGAAGATGATCATCATGATCATCAACATGATGATGATGATGATGATCATGATGGGATGGATGATGGTGATGACAACGACTATGACGGTAATGATGATGACGATGACAATGACGATGACAAGAATAATTATGACGGTGACGATTATGATGATGATGATCATGATCATGCTCATGATGATGCTTATGATCATGATCATGATGATGATGGGATGGATGATGTTGATGACAACGACGATGACGGTAATGATGATGACGATGACAACGAATGATGATGTTGATGACGATGATGATGATGATGATGATGATGATGATGATGATGGTGGGGCGCCCTCCGAGGCGGGTCAAACTGCAAGCAACAAAGCATGCCACCACGTATCAGAACCGCATGAAGAGAGGAGAGAGAGAGAGAGAGGGAGAGAGAGCGGGGGGGGGCTTCCGCGGGCGGAAGCGGGTTCGCATGCTCGCGCTCACCATTGCGCATGAATCTCTTCATGGTAAGGTCACCGAGCGATTGCCTGGCGTTCCATGCAACTCGCAATCTGATGAATCAACACTTCGCCCTTGTTAATTCCGCCCTGTCTCGTGAGGGGCAGCTCCACCCACTCTGGCATCTTCCTTTTCCACCTTTGGAAGAGCACACAATTAGGGTTCAACAAAGCCGACACGTATGAGAAAGTGCTCTTCGCAGTGACCAGGACGTCGGCTCTGGCCATGTACGCCATGGTTTCACGCGCCTCTGTGTCCAGGTGAACGATAGCGCCCCAGTTGCGGTACACGTCAAAATCCTCTGACGTGTGAAGGCCGCGCGATCCGAGGGAGCTGAAGACGTGGAACTCTGCGTGGGGCACCTTCTCTCGCATGATGTTCATGAGCCAAATGTACCACTCGTCCCTCGTGAACCGCTGCATTCCAGCTGAAGATCCGCTGAAGACGTCGTCCCGGCGCACATGCACGGCAACGTGGAAAATGTGTGAGCGAAAATGCGCCAGGTGCATTTGCATGAGAGGCGTGTTCCTGCTCCTCAGTGATGCCAAGATAGTTGGAGAAATCTGGGTTCCGACGATAACGTCGCCCAGCCCCTCGCCCCTGTCCAGACAAACGCGGGCCCCGTCTCCTATCGCTCCCTTCTCCAACTGCTCTTGCAGATCGCCCAGACTCCGGAAGCTCTGCGTCCCGTTCGGCACGGCGTCCACGTACATCTCAGACTCGTCAGCGAAACCGAAAAACGCCTGCATCGCAGGGGCGATCAGGACGTCGTGCGATATGCTGCACGGCTCCCTCCCCGCGACCACACCTGCGAAGCGCATGCCCATGCGCTCGGCAGATATCAGAGCCCCGATGACGTCGAGGATCCGGGAGCCCCACCCGTCGCACGTGTCCCTGAAGTAGAACTCCCGGCTGGCCCCGCCCTGGAGCTTCAGGAGGGGCGGAGGACGAAGAGGATGCATTGCGCACAGAGATGTTTGAAGGGGAACTGGGACACACAAATAAATACACACAAATAAAAATACCCCCCATATTTTCTCATATTTTCTAGGTTTTTGTCTTCCCCCACTTCCCATATTTTCCCATATTTTCTTGGAATCGCCGATTACTTGTGTCTGTGTGTTTTTTCCCCTCCTGAATGTCAGGAGCCCCGCGCGGACTTCTCGGAGCTGCGCCGATCCCCACCTCCCCGGCGCGCGGAGTGCGCCCGGGAGGCGGCGCCCGAGGCGCCGCCGAGGGGGGGCCCAGGGGCCGACCTGGGAAGCCCGGCGCGGCGCTCCGAGGCCTCGCTGCTTTTACGAGCGGGAGCTCTAACTTTTGCACCGCGTGCCGCGGCGGCGGCCCCGGCGAGCCGCTGCGGCCTGCGAGCGCACAGCGCGTCGCTCCGCGCCGCGGGGCCGGAGGCTCGGAGAGGCGCCGAGCGTTGACGCCTGGGGGCCGGGAAGCGGATGGCGTGTCGCGTTGAGGCAGGTGGGCCGAAACCTCCTGCGGCAACTCATGGGAGCCTCCCATACCATGTTGCTGGTTCTGGCGAATCGGCGCTCATCGACGCTAGATCGGCGCCATCTCATCGATCACCGGACGCTCATCGACAATAAGTCACTCTGAAGACGGAATTGCGAGGGTATACAATGCTCCCATGATTTGCTACCGAAGTGGCGTGGTGGGTCAGAACTGGCGGAGCGACACGCTATCCGAAAGTTCCCGACCGTATGCTTGTGCCGTCTGCGTGAGCCTTTATAAGGGGGCCTATGTGGACTTGCGCAGCCCTATCATAAACGCAATTTCGACCAGATTTCGTCTAGATTTCGACAACCCCTCTTTTCACCTTCTCGCGCAGATCTCGCCCTGATGTCGAGCAGACCCGACGAAGCTCGAACGAAGTCACCCAAAAACCTCCAGGAATTCTGGGACCCCCTGAGGCCCCCACGAAGGACAAAGGCCTCCTAGATGGGGTCCGGGCAGATGGGGTCGAAGGATCGCCCCGCATCGACGATGCCTCGACGATGCACTGGCGACGTCGGCGATGCGGCGCGATCCTCCGACACCGTTTCCTCCGACCCCACCCAGGAGACCTAGATGGACGGTTTCCCCCGGCGCCGGAGGCGACCCGAGGAGGGGAGGAGGAGAAGAGAGGAGGAGGACGGGTCGCCTAAGCCCTCCGGAGAAACCCTCCAGGAGACCTCGAAAGCAATGTCGCGTCTTCGCCCTCCGGCGCTGGGACACGTGGCCCGCTGACGCCGGGCACCCGGCAGGCCGCCTCGGCGCGAAGACGCCGCCTTCCGGGACGCGGCCGACGCCTCGCCGGAAGCCGGGCGCACGGCGAACTCGTCCTCTCGGGCTCCTCCTCCTCCTCCTCCTCCTCCTCCTCCTCCTCCTCCTCCTCCTCCTCCTCCTCCTCCTCGGAGCCCTGGGCTTGCAGGCGGCCGAGGGGTCTGACGTGGCCGGGAAGCCCAGGCCCAGACCCCCCGGGCGTCGTGGAACAGATCGTGGCGGGAGGCTTCTCGCCATTTGCGGCCTCGGGGGGTCCTCGCTAGGCCTCGGGGGGCCCTCGCTGGGCCTCGGGGCTGTCATACGACGACTCAGGATGAAAAACCGGTCCCGGGGAAGGGGTCCAGGCCCCTGGGGGTCACGTCACAAAAAAACACGACGTCGGGGGTCTGGGGAGAATCGGTCAGGAGGGGGGATGAAGCCAGATCTGCTCAAGATCGGTCCCTGGACCCCTCTGGGGGGCCATCTGGTGCAGTTTGTCGCCCAGGTCTGTTTCTGACGGTCCCAGGGCCCGAAGACGGCCCCCAGAGGCCGAAAAAGCCAAAAAATGCTTCTCGAACCCGGCAACTCGAACCTCGCCACCCCTTCCTGCTCGCCAGAACCACTGCTGGGGCACCACTTCAGACCCCCAAACGGCTCCAAACCCTGGGTACAAGTGACCTTTGGTGCGGTGCTGGGGGGTGCGCAGAGGGGGGAAGGGGGCAAGCCCAGACGCGCAAGCCGTTGCTATCGCTCCGATCGGGGGACCTCTAGGGGGCCCGCACCAGACCCAGACCCACGACGTCATGACTTGTTCGTACCGTCGACCCCCACGGGTCTCGACCCACTCCCCAGGACCGGTGTTCCATCCTGCACCATTTCTTGACGGCCCCGGGGCCCCAGGGGCCGAAAGCAGCGGAAAACCTCCCGCCCAGATGTTGCTCACGACGCGAGCGCACATCCGGGGACCCAAACATCCAGCTGCTCCAATTGCTTCGATGCGTGGGCCCCGCACGTCCGGACCACTTCCCCAGACCGGTGTTTAACCGGGCGCCCCCAGGAGTCGGATCGACAAGTCGGATCGGCGATCGGGATGAATCGGATCGGCGGAACTCGGCAGCCGAGTCGGGAAAAGTCGGGTCGGCGGAAACCGGAGGGATAGTAGGGCTCCACTCAGACATCGGAGCCCAAAGGGAAATCCGAAATCGAATCCAATCGGAATCGGGAGCCATCAGAATCGAATCGAGTCGAATCGGAGGAATCGAAATAGGCCCCGCTTGTCATCCTGGATCATCTGCTGATGCTCCCGAGGCCCAGCGAGGGCCCCCCGAGGCCGAAGACGGCCAGGAACCGCCCGCCCCGATAGTTCTGCTGGGGCGTCGGGGACCTCGCGGGAGGCCACGCTGGCGAAGGACCCCCCTCAAGCTCGCGCAGGGGACCCGCTGCAGAATTGACTTACCCCAGAATGTGACTTCTGCCGTAGAGCAGACGTGAATGCTTTTAGGCGGACGTGCCCTTCTGCGTAATGTTCGTCGAGCCGGCGAACATTTCGATTCTGAGGCAAATAGATCATGCAGTCTGCGGGCAAGACTTGTGTCCCTATCCACTGCAGCTTGGAGTTTCGGGCTCCCTTCCCGAGAACCCCGAGGCGCACTGGATGCGAACAAGACTCTGGACCCTACAATAGAGGCTCGATGTTTGTCCATATCCAGTGCGCCTCGGCCTCGCGGTGCCCCTTCCAAGAAAACTCAAGACGCACTGGATACGGATACAGTCCTTACCCGCACTGTATCGGGGGGCGCGCAAACATAGATGAGCGATTTGGCGCGCGGTCGCCAAATCCATAGATCGGGGGAGGTGCCCTCCCCAAAATGCGGCCAGCAGCGCCTCGCTCGGCGGCGGAAATCCGCGATGTCCCACAGAAACGGGACCCGTCGCTGATCCACGCCCCCTTGATCCATGCTTGCGATCGCCTGGCTGCAGCCGACACGTCCCGCCGATCCTCGGCCGCGCCCCCCCGCTCTCCCCCGGGCGCGCCCCCTGCAGGGCCCGCTCCCAGCGCGCGCACGGCGCCCGACCGCAGCACGGCGCCCGCGGCCACCGCCAGGACTGCCGCGCGCGGGCGGCGCATGCCGGCGGCTGCGGAGGGCGTGGCCTGCAAGGGTCGGTGAGACGTAAGACTCGGGTTCGGAAGACGTATGTCAGACTAGGGCTCGGGGGGCTCCTCCTCCTCCTCCTCCTCCTCCTCCTCCTCCTCCTCCTCCTCCTCCTCCTCCTCCTCCTCCTCCTCCTCCCCTCCTCCTCCTCCTCCTCCTCCTCCTCCTCCTCGTCCTCCTCGTACTCCTCCTCTCCTCCTCGTCCTCCTCGTACCCTCCTCCTCCTGCTCCTCCTCCTCCTCCCTCTCATCCTCCTCCTCGTCCTCCTCCTCCTCCTCCTCTCCTGCTGCTCCTCCCTCCTCCTCCTCCTCCTCCCTCCTCCTCCTCCTCCTCATCCTCCTCCTCGTCTCCTCGTACTCCTCCTCCTCCTCCTCCTCCTCCTCCTCCTCCTCCTCCCTCCTCCTCCTCCTCCTCCTCCTCCTCCTCTCCTCCTCCTCCTCCTCCTCCTCCTCCTCCTCCTCCTCCTCCTCCTCCTCCTCCTAATGCGCTCGGGAGGTCCCGAACGAAGAGAACCCCACCTCCCTCCTTAGAAATCGTGGGGTGATGGGGTAAGGTTCGCATGTGGCCTCCTATGCGGAGGGCGTGGTTTGCAAAGGTCGGGGAGATGTAAGACTCGGGTTCTGGGGACTCGGGTTGGCCCGACGGGGCCATCGGAAAATGACGAGACCCGGTCTGAAATCTGACGCGGGCTCGCGCTGCAAACATCCCACGAAGACTGGAACGTCAAGATCCAGGACGCGCCTGTCAAAAAGCGTGGGCAAACCCGAGTTCCGGCGTACTCGAGTCTTCCGTTTCGCGGACGCATGCCGGTGACTGCGGAGGGCGCGGTTTGCAAGGTGTGGGGGCACAGACAACCCGTGTAATACAATCGAAACCCTCAAATCCTGGCGTTGCAACTGTTTCAATGGGCGTTTCCGCCCAGATTCGAGCCCCGGGATCCTCACAGATCCAGCTCGAAAAATGACGCAGAAAGAAGGGGTCTAGGGCTCCGGGCGTGATTTGTTGCGATGTTGCATTTTCTTGTAACGTCGGATCTCAGGGAAAAGTGGTCAAGAAAATCGTCATTTAATAAATCTGGGCCAGCTTCCTGGACGTTTCTCAAAGCAAGCCTGGGCCAATTCCTGCTGTTAGCGCTGGAATGGCGAGCGTGCTCAGGAAACTGGGACAGCTCCCCGGCAAGCTGGTCCAGAACCGCCGGCCCAGCTTTTGTTTCGGGAGGAGGTGTCTCAATCAGACGCTCGACTGCAAGGACGCACGAGAAGGACGCAAGGGCCCTGGAAGGCCGCGTCGACACCCTGCGAGCGGGGCGCGGGCAGCGAAAGCGACCAAGGACGGGCCGAAGGGGCAGGAGGCAAGGATAGCCTTATGTTGCTCCCATCGTACTTAAGGACCACATCCCAGAAATCATTTCGAGCACCCAGAAAAGTGTCGAAGGAGTGTCGAAAGACTGTCGAAACAGTGTCGGACGAGTGTCTCCCAGGGCCCGACACGTGCACATCCTCGAGTTTCGGTACTTGTTTTCTGGTGCTCGAAATTCTTTCCAGTGGTCAAGGCTAAAGTAGGTTGGAACAGCATAAGGGTAGCCTTGGGTAGCCAGTGGCTCTCTCTTCACCCTACCACTCCTGGAACGAAAGGGCTGCTAAAACAATTTATCTAGTACAGCAGGTCCCACCATTCACGCCCTTCAGGGCACTCAGGGTTGAGGGGCCAGGGATACGTGACATGCTGGCCCTTAGGCCAGGGGAGTTAGCCTTGAAAAGCCGCTCATCCTTCCCGTGCGGGTCGGCTGCACCTGGCCCTCCGCTGGGCCTGGCGGGAGGCCTCTCCCCATCCATCCCTCCGACGACCCTTCCAGGAGGCCCTCCGGCGAGGCGGCAGCGGGGAGGGAGGCAGGAGGAGGAGGAGGAGGAGGAAGAGGAGGAC